AATGATGTTTACTTTGGATTTATATTAGTTCACACAAACACTCCATCCATGCTTTTGTTCTGGCCCTCCGGTCCAGTTTAAGAACCCATTGTGGCCCTCGAGTCAAAAAGTTTGCCCACCCCTACTCTATCCACTGAGCCAAACCGGTTTCGGCTGTAAATTATTTTTAATTAGTAAAAATTTATTATACTAAATAATAAATGGAACCTGAAAACAGTGGGAATGTTGGTGATGTATGATAATTGAGCCTCTCTTAGGCACTGGGATTAGATAGTTTTAGGAAAGTAAAACTTTTCCTGATTTTTTCACCAGCATTGTAAGCTATAATTTCCTCTTAATCTTATAATTAGAGAATGCATGTAAAATAATTAGAGAGTCATCAATTAGTTAACATTTTATTTCAGTGCCTTATATAATAAAGAGGTAATATGCAAATTAATGCTCACGCCATAACACCATCACAAGATGGCTGCACACACAGCAGGAGCGGGGCAGCGGGGTCAGAAATGGCAGCCACTCTGTGCAGCTTCCTCCAGGTTTCCTGTGGTCCTGTGGCGGCACAGGGGTCCTGTCATCTGCTTCGTGTGGCTTCTTCCAGGGTCTCCACGGCCCCATGCATGGGGGGCCCTGTGTCCACTTTGTGCAGCTTCTGCTGGGGTTTCCATGGCCCCATGTGCACACCATAGGGGTGGGGCCCGGTGGCCACTCTGCACAGCCCAGAGGTGGGGCATCAGGGCGGCACTCCAAGACTTGGGGCCATCCCACAGGGCCCCCCCCCCCCCATGCTCGAATTTTGTGCATCAGGCCTCTAGTTTTAATATAAATACATTGTAGAAGAGATATTGACATCTGTCTATTTAGAAGAGGATTACTTTTTGTGAGAGAAAATTTTCCTTTTTAAAAAACTTAAAATTCAGTTACAATAAGTGCATCCATTTAAAATGAACAGGTTGATGAATTTTGGTGGATATATATACACTCATGAAATTACTACCACAATCAAAATTTAGGATAGTTTCATTATAAATTTCAAAGTATCTTCCTGTTCCTTTGCAGTCCATCCCTCTCTTATTCAAGGCCCAAGGCAACCACTGATTTGTTAGAAAATTTGTTAGAAAATTTGTTAGAAAATTTGTTAGAAAATTTATTTTCCCATTGATTATAGTTTTATTTTCCCATTGAAAATAGTTTTTAAAGGACAGCCTTTAGCCTAGGCCTGTGTTGCTCAGTTGGTTGGGAGTCATCCTGTGCACTAAAAGGTTGCTGGTTCAATTCCCTGTCAGGGGACATGCCTGAGTTGAGGGCTCCATTCCCGGTGGGGGAGCGTGCAGGAGGCAGCTGAACAATGTTATGCTGTCACAACAATGCTGCTTCTCCCTTTCTCGCTCTCTAAAAATCAATAGGCTATTCTTAAAACAAAACACAAGCGCTTTTAATGAATCAAATCTAGTCAGTTTTAGCTAGGTAGCTCAGTGTGTAAGGATTATGGCCTTGGGCTGTGGAACTTGTAAACCTATTTGAATCTTGGCTCTGTTTTGTGACTTGGGAAGACATTTAAATTATTTGAATGCATTTTTGTTCTTAAAACAATAGTCTATTCTGATTGGAAATACATTAATTAAATGTAGGTAAACTGTTAGCAGCATATGATATATATACCTAGTAAATTGTAGTATATCTTTGAACTTCCTCTCTCCTCATTTTCTTTCTTTCTTTTTTTAATCCTTTGGGAGTCATCCTGTGCACTAAAAGGTTGCTGGTTCAATTCCCTGTCAGGGGACATGCCTGAGTTGAGGGCTCCATTCCCGGTGGGGGAGCGTGCAGGAGGCAGCTGAACAATGTTATGCTGTCACAACAATGCTGCTTCTCCCTTTCTCGCTCTCTAAAAATCAATAGGCTATTCTTAAAACAAAACACAAGCGCTTTTAATGAATCAAATCTAGTCAGTTTTAGCTAGGTAGCTCAGTGTGTAAGGATTATGGCCTTGGGCTGTGGAACTTGTAAACCTATTTGAATCTTGGCTCTGTTTTGTGACTTGGGAAGACATTTAAATTATTTGAATGCATTTTTGTTCTTAAAACAATAGTCTATTCTGATTGGAAATACATTAATTAAATGTAGGTAAACTGTTAGCAGCATATGATATATATACCTAGTAAATTGTAGTATATCTTTGAACTTCCTCTCTCCTCATTTTCTTTCTTTCTTTTTTTAATCCTTACTGGAGGATATTTTCCCATTGATTTTTATTTTATTTTATTATCTATTTTTATTTTCCCATTGATTTTTAGGGAGTGGAAGGGGAAGGGGGAATGGGGGAGGGAGAGAGAGAGAGAGAGAGACCTATGAGAGAGAGACACATCAATTGGTTGCCTCCCCACCCAGGACACCTAAGGTATGTGCCCTTGACCTTGACCAGAATGAAACCTGGGACCCTTCAGTCCGAGGGCTAACACTATCCACTGAGCCAAACCAGCCAGGGTCCCCTCATTTTTATAGGGAAAATAATTCAAGGACAGTTTGAAGAAGTTTTGGTAGATTTGGCTAATCTAAATAACCTTGGAATTTTGCTTAATTAGTGGAATTTTCTAGCTAACTGAATATTACTAGATTTCTGTTGACTCCCCTACCCCCTAAAATACATCACTTCAGTTTTCTCTGAAACCAATATTGAAAATAATTCAGCTTTTTATAATTGAGGCTCCTCTAGAGTATAAGAGGACTTTTACTGAGTGATATCTACTAGGGTACATTTCAAATAGGAGACTAGCTTGATATGTGTATGAGCTGCACATAACTCACTAAAATAAATTTAAGTCTCTGATATGTTGTTGTCTTGTCATTTATCTCACTGTATCCTAAAAGGGTTCCCCCCTCAGTGGTGTATGTGCACATCTGTTCCTGAATGTGTGTAGTTTTTTGAGTTTTGACTTGTTGGTTTTAGTTTAATAGTTTCTTTCTACCTTCCCCACTCCCCCCACCAGAAATCTTTTTCTCTCTATATTATCGTTCTTTAAATGCTTTGTAAATAAAACAAGGCTATTTTACAGTTTTAATATGTATGGGACAATAAATTATTTGACCTCAGCTCTTTTATATGGACTTACTGTAAAACCAATGTCTGATTCTTAATTTATGGAAAGATTATGGTTGAAAACATGATTTTTATGCTTTAACTTTGTAGTTCTTTCAAATGTGTGAAATTAATGGAGTATGTACATAGTGTTTTTTTTTTCTTTTCTAAAAGTGAGTAAACATTTAATAGGGTTTCTGATACAAATGATACTCTACATGCATGATGAAGAAACATTTAGTAACGATTCGTTCTACATATCCAAATGTATATTGGAAACAGTGAGGATTTTTTTTTTTAACAATTCAATACTAAGTGTGTTCTTAGACTCAGAACTATTAAAATAATTTGGTTTTAGGTGATTATCAATTGGTAGCTTTATTTCTTATGGTATTTTTTTTGTCTTTCTATAGGGTTGAAAGACACACAGAAGTCTTCATGGATATAGTTGATACATTTAATCATTTAATTCCTACTGAACACTTAGATGATGCCCTATTTCTAGGATCCAACCTGGAGAATGAAGTCTGTGAGGATTTTAGTACAAGTCAAAATGTCTTAGAGGACTCGCTGAAGAACATGCTCAGCGATAAGGATCCTATGCTAGGATCTGCAAGTAACCAGTTCTGTTTGCCTGTTTTGGATAGCAATGATCCCAATTTCCAGATGCCTTGTTCAACAGGTAATTCTTAACTTTTTTTTTTTTTTTTTTTTTTTTTTTTTTTAGTCTGCAATTTAAAATAAAAAGAATTTTTAGCAGCATTTTTTTTCCTTTTTCTTTTTTTGATGAGGGCAGTGAATTTAGGGTTCTTTCCTTTGAATTTAGATATTCTAGCCATCAGAATTAGAATTTAAACTAAATTTCCTTCTAAGGAGTGTGGAGTTATTTTCAAGGATATTATGGATATAGATAGGGCAACCATATAATTTATCATCCTAAGTGGGACACTGAGAATTATAGGGGATGCTGTTAATAATTACTTCATAACAACAGGTGTAATTAGGACTTTGCCTAGCAAATTGGGACATGACCCTAGGCTTGCTGGAGTCAAGGGGGAACAGCTGAATTGACCTTTCTGTTGCCCTTTCCAGCCTTTCAAGTTTAATATTGTGTGCTCCTATCAGATCTTTTGATATTTTTACAAGTACCTCAGAACCAGAGAAAGAACTCTAGACCTGTGCTATCTAACATAGTAACTACTAGCCACATTTAACTATTAATCACTTGAAATGAATCTGGTCCTAATTGAGATGTGCTGTTAAATGCATACCATATTTTAAAAACTCAATATGAAAAAAAAAGAATGTAAAATATTTCATCAAAAATTTTTTTAATGTTGAGGTGATATTTTGAATAATTTTTGTTAAATAGGATTTTAAAATTCATTTCGCTTTTAAAATATATATTTTTAATAACTTTTTAAATATATATTTTTTGATTTCAGAGAGAAAGGGAGAAGGAGAGAGATTGAGAGAGAATCATTGATTGGCTGCCTCCTACACATCCCCCACTGGAGATAAAGCCCACAACTGGGGGCATGTGGGACAAACCATGACCTGGTTCATAGATCAACGCTCAACTGAGCCATGCCAGTGGGCTCACCTTATTTTAAAATTTTATTTTTGTTTTTAAAGTGGTTACTTGAAAATTTAAAATTAAATATGTGGCTTACATTACATTTCTGTTGGCCAGCACTGCTCTAGGATCTCTATGTAGTTGAAGTCAATGAAAGATTGAGGGGGGAAAAAAAAAAGAAAGATTGAGGAAAGTAACTTTCTGTAGGGCTAAACTAATTCTCCATAAGAAATTATTTTGGAGCTAATATTAATATGTGGAAAAATATGTAGATTTTCTTACATAATGCAGAGAGAATATTACAACAAACTTTGGTGCAATTAACCTATCCTATAAGCTAGAATTAGATAAGGAAAATCAGCTTCAGATGGAGAAGTTAGGCTTTCCCTTCACTGTTCCCTAGAGTAGTTCAGAGGTTTAGGTTGTGTTGGTCTATTTTTCAGTGACTCTAGACTTCCTCTGCATTACAGTTTTTCAGTATATTTTTTCATTTTCTTTTAACTTTTTCTACTTAATATAATAATACTTAAAGTTTTGGATTAGGTGGCCTGTGTTCATCCATAAATTTATCAGATAACTCTGCCTAAAGACCTTGACATTTTGGCTAACTAGGAATCTTTTCATTCTAACTACTGTATCTTTTGAATTGCTTGCTAATGATGTATCTCTGAATTATATACATTGTTTGTGTTATTGCATAGGCTTACATTGTTTTTGTTGTATTCTAAATGTTTTAATGCTGTAAAAATTTTGTTTTATGTATATGCATTGTTCAAGTTTTTTACTTTGGTTACTGTGTCAGTACAGTATATTGAATTATCTTTATTGTCAAGCACTTTTGACAATGTTTGATTGTATGTACAAAATTTCAGTTTAGTCCAAATTAAGTAAAAACATTTATTGAATACTTCAGTGCTTGTTACTGGGAATGCAGTAACCCACAAGGATGCTGTACTAGGCCTTGAATTGGCAAGTATAACATCCCCTAGACTTATTTACTTAAGAATTCCAGCCCTTTAGTAATATTGGTATTCCTACATGCAATCCTTTTTTTTTTTCCTTTTTCTTCAGTTTTGGTGAACATTTTCTTTTGCTTATAGAATACTTTGAACATCTTTATTCACATACTTAAACTTTTTTTGAGGTATGGTTATTTGTTTGTGATTTTATTATTTTGTAAACTTTAACTTTTTATTTAAGAGTTTTAAGTAAAATTATTTAAATATTTTATTTTAAATTTGTTTGCTACAATTATTTATTTTGGTTCCGAAGCAGACTATTTCTATTAATATATGTGTAGTACATGTTTTTAAGATATACAAGGGAATATGTGGGGGGGAACTTAAGATAAAGCTTTTCTGTCTAGAATTATTTAGATTTCATTGTGCCATCAGGCAGGGGATTTATCTTGATTGCTTCAAAATTTGTGTTGCCCATTGGGATATTTGGTTCAGTAAAAGGCTTATATATTTTCTAATGATAGCAAAGTGGAATACATGAAAAAGTTTTTCTTTTAAAATCTCTTTTGAAATAATAGATTTAAGAGCATTGCAAAGAAGAAATTTTATTGTAAATTATTTACTGAAAACCCAATGTGGGCAACTTGTACAATTTTCAGATAGTCAGAAACTACTTCAGTTTTTGCTGTATGACACAGTTCTTACCTATATGTTTGTATCTGGATCTATAGGTTTTTACTAATTGTCTTAACTGAAGCTTATCAGGGAAATGACCCTATCGGTATTCCTCAGGCCAACAAAAGCTACAGATTATGGTTATTCGGTAATATTGGTTTTGGTAGTGCTAAACTATTATATCTTGTTCTCTGCTATGCTGAACCAGTTTGGTTTGCTGTAATTGTTAAAGATCAGTATTTTGGTTGGCATAGTTGAGTGGTTTGCATTATATTTAAGCTGTCTCCAAAAATCATAGAAGGCGCTTTAAAGTTTAAAAATAGGAAAGAAAAAGGGAAGATTATGTCTAGTGTTCTGTCATATGCACAAAAGTTAGGATATTAATTGTTAAACTCTCTAAAGCAGCAGTTGCCAACCGGTGGTCCGTGGACCACGTCCGAAAGGTTGGCGACTGCTGCTGTAAAGTGTTTCTTTAACTACAGTGTTTGCATATGGTTTTTATTTTATTGGAGTGACTCTGGTTAACCAAATTATACAGGTTTCAGGTGCCCAATTCCACGACACAGCATCTGTATGCTGTATTGTGTGCTCATCACCCCAAGTTAGGTCTTCTTCCATCACCACTTATCCCCCCTATCCCTCCTATCACCACACTGTTAAATATGGTTTGTTTTTTTTGGATTTGCCCAGTAATACATTTTTGAAAAACTCCAAGTGAGGAAAAACATTACATGTGGGAGAAATATTTGATCTTGATGATAAAACCAATTATTAGTGTTTTTAAAAAATCCTGGTATCCTTAAAATGAAAATTAGATTTTCCCAGGTATTATGTTCAAGATACCAAATATGTTGTGTATAAACACTACTTCAAAGTCATCATAATGGTGTTTGAAACCTGGCATTATAGTGTCATGAAGAAATGTTTATCATTTTACAAACAAATGTGTTCCCTTTTTACATAAATAGCTATGATTCATAAATGTGAAATAAGTCTTGCATTTATGATCTATTTCTTTATATGATATATTGAAAATAAATGCCCAGTAACTATAATTTGATTTGTTACATTAAGACCAGGAAGACACACTGTAGATATAAGGATATTCAGAGCAGCCTTTCATTTAAAAGCACTTGTAGGTACTGCATCCTTTAATGAAAACCAAGATGTCCTTTCCAAGCTACATCGGGCTTGCAAAGTTATCATTCACTAAATTAAAAAATTATAGCCCTTTTGTAGCATGGATTTTAGAGGTTAAATACATCAAAAAGTCATGGAATTCTTACAGTATCTTGGCATATTTGTTAAATGTTGACTCGTGTATTTAAGTGTAAAGGAAACTTTGTGCTAGCATGCGTATATAATAGTTGTTTTCTTATTGTGAATGACATTGGTAATATATGACATCAGGCAGTGTTATTTAATAAGGATTTTAGCACATGCTGCTTCCTTTCGAGCAAAGTATTCTAATAGCATGTTACAAGTTTCTCGGTAGTAGTGTGATTTGGTCCCTTTATTAGTACACAGATTTTGTTTTAAATATTTTTATTGATTTCAGAGAGGAAGGAAGAGGGAGAGAGATAGAAAAATCAATGATGAGAAAGAATCATCCATCGGCTACCTTCTGCAGGCTCCCTACTGGGGATCGAGCCAGCAATCTGGGCAACTGCCCTGATGGGGAATTGAACCGTGATCTCCTGGTTCATAGGTTGACACAGAACCACTGAGACACACTGGCTGGGCTGACACACAAATTTTTAATGTTTAATCATAGATCTATAGCTTGGGGCTTTATCGTTTGAAGCAGGTTTCATTTGTAATATTGGAAAAATTATATTGTACTTGTTCTGGAGAAATGATTAGTGTCCTTAGTGTATCACTGAGATTTGTTTAAAAGGTGTTTATAAGTTTTTATGGCTTCATACTTCTCTTGGACAGTATTTCCAGACAGTACATTGAACTAACCACAGTGGCCCTCTGGTCCAAAAAATTCATGTTTTCAGAATTCTTCTTCTTATTTGTACTTTATTTGTGGGGGGTAGCAAACTTTTTGTACAAATTAATTACACATATGGATCTAACTGCACATTATTTTGAGTGGTAGTATCTGTCATTTAAAAATTTTTTTAACTTCTGAGCTTCAGTGAACCTCTTGTGCCATTGTTCTTATTTTTTCCCCTTTCCCCCCCAAGAATAGTCAGTCCATTCCCTTTCTATGTCCCTGATTCATTATAATCACCAGTTCATTCTGTACATCAGATTATTTATTCACTTGGTTCTTAGATTCACTTGTTGATAGATGCATGTTTGTTGTTCACAATTTGTATCTTTACCTTTTTCTTCTTCCTCTTCTTAAAGGATACCTTTCAGCATTTCGTATAATACTGGTTTAGTGGTGATGAACTCCTTTAGCTTTTCCTTATCTGTGAAGCTCTTTATCTGACCTTCAATTCTGAATGATAGCTTTGCTGG